ATAACCAACAATTAAATCATGGTTCTATATTAATTTCACATGATTATTACAATCCTAAACTAAAAAATAAATTCCTCGTCTCAAAAGAGGAACAACGTAGTATTGAAGAATACAATAAAAGCAATAAAAATTGCTTTATAATAAGTAGCAAAGGTGATTTCTCATAAATTAAAGTGTTGATCCTTGAAACTTGAGTATTTGAAGTTCATTTTCACATAAAAATTTAGAGTCAATAAGGAGAAGAAGAAAAGGTGTAAAAGACGAACACTTTATAATGTGATAGTCCCTTCTTTATATGTTTAGGCGTAGATTGACTTGAGCACAACCATGCATGTATTGAGTACAATCATGCTTCTTATATGATGGGTAACTCTTAAAGTTGAGCATAATCATGCTTAACTAAGAAAGGTTGTGTTGCCTTGTCTAACTATAAGTGACCTTTTTTTCATCTAGCATGATCATGCTTATGTTAGCACCACCATGCATACTTCTATTCTGAATGCACCTTTTGGGCTTAGTTTTGTTTTTTTTTTTTTGAGTTGGAGTTTTCATTGTCTTGCACACATATGCCTCAAAGTCAAGTCATTTTTTAAAATAATATAAAAAATTACTTAAAATTCAATTTAATTCTTGTGTGTAAGCATATCACATCACTTTATTTCGTTAGGTATTCTTATTGTTTTCTACTTGTGTGATTTTTTTAACTTATCTTATTTTTAATCTTTCAAACGAAATCTTATGATTCAGATAATGAGCTCAATTGAAATTATAGAAGATTGTGTGAATGATATTTAAGTCCAATGTAAGTATATTAAAGTACTTATTGACAAATGTATGCAACAAGGTATCAACTTTAAGAAAGGTATTCATAAAAAAAATATACAAAGAAATTGTAAAGGAAGACACTTGTGCTTATTTAATGATTACTTAACAAACATATATAATATATACCAAAGTTCATTTCTACTTATCAAATGTGAAGGCATGTTGTCTTAGGAGTTACGAAAGAACTTGGCAACAACAACGAATATTTTCAATTGAGAAATAATGCACCACCATTATCAATGACATCGACAACAATGAAGGCGATAATGATAATAGCAATGATGAAGAGGATGATAATGATGGTGATAATTGAGTTACTACAAGAGTAAATTGTGTTACTCTTCATCCTTACACTTTTTTTATTCCATTGGTTCTAATGAATAACACATTTGACCATTAGATTATAAAGAAATGAAGGGTGGAGATGAAATTTATTTATAAAAAAAAAAAAAAAGTTATACATGATGGAAAATGAAGGACAATGACAACGATAATGATAGTAACAGTAGTGTATAGTGATCATAACGATGGTTGTAGAGACGACGATATTAATGATTTCATAAAAGAGACATTTATAATTAAGTTTTAATATCAACTATTTATTATTTTTATCTAAATATTATTATTTACTCCTCTCATATATAAATGTTATTATTTTTGTTATAAGTATTTATAAATAAATTTATCTAAACAAAATCTAATACATTCATCACAAGGAATTCATGTTTGATCACTGTTGTGCACAAAAAAATCCATTGATTTAACAACATTTATAATATTGTAAGAAAGATTAGTCTCTAACCTAATAATCTGGAAGATACCTCGACATGATAAAACAAAAGTTTCAAATTAAAAGTTTAAATCTTACTTTCTATTCTAGTTACCTTCATTTTGTTTGACACATGAATAAATAAAAAAAACTTAGCTTATAGAGTAATGAATGGCACAGGGAAAAATTGCAGAATCCCTAGAAACGATAGTCAATTGCCCTGAAAATCTAATATGACAATGAGAGTGAGTGATGAGACATGAGAGGTGTTCCGCCATGATTTATGGTTATGTAAAGGGCAAAGGGCTCTAGAGTCTCAATTGCAGTGTGCACGTTGCCTGATTCGGAAGCAACGTTGAGTTGAATGTTGACCTCATGTGGATGTGCGCACGTTTATTCAATTCTACCCTTCCTTCCTAGTCCTAGGCCCCCCGCCACATGATTGCACGGAATCTCACCCAATAAGGACATTTCCTCCCTCACCTTTGCTTCCACTTCAAATTGAAATTTCTAAATCCTAAACCAATAGGTTAGTAACAGCTAGATGCATCAACCACCCATTCACATTAATAAATCCTGACAAAAACATAGCAATTATGAATCAAGTCAAGCTTCGTAACCAACACGCGCACGCCCTTGTCACATTCACTTGCTCCTTTTATTTAATAATAATTAATAATGCTCGTTCCCGTCAGATCAGAGGGACCTGCATGAAAACCAAAACTATTGGTATGATCCGTGAAAGGTGCTATCTGGCATAGCCATCTTGCGTGGACACGTATTAGAGACTAGCTCATGCCAAACTCCATCACAACATGAGACATGGTTAACCCTTTTTTAACGTAAGCTTCAGGTTTCTGGTACTTTGCCACTCAATAAATTTCCTGGCTTCTCACTTCTCAGCAAAATTTGTGATCCGTGATGGTAGGGTGCAACTATCGAGTCCAACATTCCTTTGACTTTCGCTCATCTAAGTAAACAAATGGCCAAAATAGAAATTTATTATCTCCCTTTGAAAGATAGGAACCAAAAAATAAAAAGGTTAAATGTATCTGACTTTTTCTCTTACCCTCAAGTGACACTTTTAATGATGTCTACGTGTGTATCAGTGTATGGATTTGGAACGGGCTAGGGACTTTATACATTTCGTCGTTAATTAATGAGAGTTAAGATGGAATTTGGACCATGTATAATCAAATGCTGCATCGCTCAATTCCGGTTTACCACATGTCATAATAAATACTTTATCTTCCACCCATATATATTTACATTTTTGTAATTTTCTTTCATTTTATTTCCATTCCATTTTCTATTATTATTATGACGTTTATCGCGTCATTTATTACATTTGCCATAGATTCAAAGTTAATAGTTCATTTAATAATCACTTTTGATTGAATAAGTTAGTTGACTAACTTATAAACTAATCACTTATCTTGCTGAATACGCACCTAATGAAATATACCTTGGCAAACATACATGTATCACTTTACTTGAACTTATTATTTACTTGTTTATTCGTATTTAAGCTATAGAAACCCCTTTTTTACAAAAAAAAAATGTTAAATTATTATTACTGGCGTTATTATTATTCACTTTTGATTTCTTTGCAAGTCTCAAGAATTCGGATCATATTTAAGCGACAAGCATCTACGAGCTCGAGACAAAAATAAAATAAAATAAAATAACTGAGTGGATTTATGCTATCAGCTCTAATATATCGATAGAGCATTTTAATCAAGTTGTTTATGCTAGTTTTTAAATTCAAGAAACTTGGAAATATTGAAATAAACAAGTTTTATACAATTTGTATAAAAGTTGTTTATATAAACAACTCGCATTAATTATGTATTCGTTGAGAAGAAATAAAATAATAATAAAAAGGATTAACTTTTTTTAGTGGAAGGGAGAGTTGGAGAGAAAGTAAAAGGAAAAAGGAGGGGGAAAATGATTTTTAGAGACAGAAGTTCAAAATGTTCTTTTCTTCTATATTCCTTATAGTTTGAATTTCAAGTTTTTTCTCCTTCTTCCTTCCCCTCAACTAAAAAATATAGTATCGTTTAAAAAAAGTTAAAATAATTTTTTAAGTTAAATTAAAATTTGTGAGTGAAAAAAATAAAATATGCCCCACTAAATATAAATTAAGATTTCAAACTAAGTTTTAGCATTACAGTTAAAATTACCGAGTATTATCAAATCTTGCATAAAAATAAAGAATCCAAACAAAAAACTAAGCAAATTGAATTCTTGCCTTAGATATGCTCTTAACGTCCTATCTGGTAATATATTTTTTTATATATATAAAAATGGACGAATATTTTTCTGTTCTATTACTTTGGAAAAAAGAAAGAGTCGTGCTTCATCTTCCAAAAACAAATTCTGAATCATGTTCCAAAATGATAAAATATTAATATTTTATAATAAATTTATTATAAAATAATTATTTAATTTAATATTTTATAATTTAAAATAATATTTTATTTATTCTGAATAATTTTAGGAACACTTTTCGGACGATCTATCTTTTCCAAAAAAGAAAAGACCACGTGGCATTTTTGTTTTTGCAATTGAAAATTAGTAGCATGCAGCTTTACAAGTGTACTCATATTGGGTGCGTATCCCTATGGATCTGTCAGTCCATTGGAAGTAACTGGAATTGGGCTACAACCTACATATGAAAATGGATATTTCTTGAAAATACTTTCTAAAATATAAAATTTATTATTTCAAAAATAATTTTTTAAAATTATGTAAAATAATACAGTTCTAAAAAGTACTTTTGAAATAATAAATTTAGTATTTTAAAAAATATTATACAGAAGTATATTATTTTACATACTTTCATAAAATATTTTTTAAAATACTAAATTTAATGTTCCAAAAAATATTTTTCTAAAAGTACGTTAAAAACATAATTTCGAGAAATACTTTCAAGAAAACTAATTTTCCTATTCTAAAAAGTACTTTCTAAAACACTAAATTTATTTGATGTATTTTTTAGATGTGTAAATAAAAAAGTATTTTAAGAAAAAATACATATTTGACTCGATACTATCATGAAAATCACATGTATCCATAATGTTGTTAAAAACTAATTTTACATCTCGGATACATATGAAAACTAAAAGAAGGGAGAACAAGGATAATAGTATAAAAACTATAAAAAAAAATGTAAAATTAAAAGAATTAAAATTACATATTAAAATAAGTACGGAGTGAAAAAAATGTAAGGAAGTGCATGTGAAAACTAAAAAAATGAGGGAATGAAATGTGTGAAAAAGAAGAAAAATGTGCTAAGTTAAATGTTGGGAATGTAAAATTAAAAAAATTAAGAATATTTTAAAATTTTAATTATTCATTTTTAAAAAAAGGAGGTGTACTTGTTAAAAAAAAATTATATATATCATAAGCCTAAGTATAATTATTATAAGCATAAAGCTCAACCCAAGAGTTAGTAGAGCTTAACCTTAGATTGCACTAGCAACCAGGCCTTTTTCAGTTTTCGATCGATAATCTGCAACTTGAATTCTTCCAAAATATATGTCCTACTATCCTATATAACAACTCCATTTTGCACGATCTATTTTGACAGAAATCTCAATGTCTTCATCGGGCGAGCGAACTTTATTATTGCTTTACAGTACTGTGTCTGAGTGAATATGTGAAGACTTGTGGCATGAGAGACGCGAACAAAACAGAATGCAACACTGTTTTATTCTGTTCTCCTTGATTTCACCCTTTTAGTAACGCTAGATTGTACTATTTTTCATGTCCTCTCTGTTCTCCAAAAATACACCAAATATAAAACATAGTCTACCTGTTATATTTCGTCTCACAACTATCGTTCTTACTTGTGTATATCAAATGCTACTTATATTTATTCTTCGAAGTAATATTGAGCAGGGCATTATCAGTTACACCAAAATTTGGGCAGAAAAACCATCAATTTTGCTAATCTTAACAGAGTTGGCGGCATCCTCTCTTCTAAGCAAATTCCCGGCAGCCTTGTATAACAGCACAAATGGTTAGTCACTAGTCCGATTATGGTACAGATTGTACCATTCAGGCACAGAATTTTCTGCTTCTTGCAGATCCTCGCGAGAAAGGGGGAATTTAGTTCACGCACACAAATTTGGAACATTATTTATGACCTTAGCTACACTACATGTATTTATATGACTGAAAAACAGTTATAATGTATATATAACTCCCAAAATTGAATTCTATCAGTCAGTCTTGGCGTTAAGCCAGCAGTCAGCAATTCCTGAAATATTCAGTCAAAAAGAAATGTTAACACAGTTTTTTAATACACACTCTATTATTCCGTAAAATCCGTGTTTGTTCAACTTCCTATTTAGTAGAACCCGTACAGATTTCACCCAATGACTAATGTTTTGTTATCATTTCTGTTCAACCAAATATGTCTATTAGCAAGTTTGGGAAAGTTTAATTATCAACATCTCAGCTTTTTTTTTTTTTTTTTTTTACAATAAAAACTATTTGCAGAATAAGTTATATGTTTGAGACAACAACTGAAATCTTTAAAAATTTTATTTTCTAATAAATAAACTGTTTTCATGCATTTAAAAATTCAAAGTTTAGGGTCTAGGGTTTAAAGTTTATGTCCTAAACCCTTAAAAAAATTAAGTTAATGTCCTAACAACTTTTTTCTCCCTAAAGCCAATTTTATTAAGTAAAAAATGACCTTTTTTGTTGTATTAAGCAAAATTAAATATCTTAAATTTGCTTTTCAGTAAATTTATCGAAACAAAAATTCATTCAGATTATAATCAATTATACATATTAATTATTGATATAATCTAATTTTCACAGTCGTTCCAAACATATCCTATGTCTATTGATTATGCCAAACTGTCAGTTGAGTATGCTTTGATAGTTATTATTATTACTGTACAAGGATATCAAGTGCACTTTGAATTTTTTTATGTATCTATCAAGGAACCAGAAAGGTCAGTGCTACATCAAATACATGTGAGATGTTAGCGACGTCACCTCAAAGCCTCAAACTGCCATGCAGGAGGAAATTGTAACCTAGCCTCAAATTTGAAAGGTTTAAATATGATTTTAATCTGTATACATTTCACCCACTTGAACTTTGGTATCTAACTATCTATTGAGTTGTTGCAATTCTTGTCTTGAACAAATGCATACCAATATTAATTCCCATTCACCAGTCCCTATATTTCACCCGCTTGAGCTTTGGTATCTACAGAGTTGCAGTTTTTGTTTTAAACAAATGTATCAGTACCAATATTTTCTCTCATTGCAATTTCAGCTCCCTATCTTTAAGGTGTCAGTCCCTATATGGAATGTTTAACCGATCCATTCCGGATCGACCCAATTGGTACGGAAGTTGTAACATGGGAAAACCACAGAAAACACAACTTATTTGAATAACCCGGTGACCTACCAATTGTAGGAGTAGGATCTTTGGCAAGCAATAAGCACTTAAATAATACAATTCGAGTGTACCATCTTCTTTCTCATTCCAAGAAAAAGGGGCGGAAGAAAAAGAAAAAAACGAAGGGACCCGAATCGGACCTAAATGGGAATGACATGACCAGTCTTTTTCAAAACCTAGTATTAAGGGCGTTACGACGATATACGAGAGGAATGGAGAAACCCATGAAATTTTAATCCATGTACTTTTTAATTATTAAGGTTGTCTCTATTTTTTCATAACAGATTACAAGGACCCACACTTCATGATCCCATTGATATGTGTATGTGTGTCTGTATTTATAAAGACCGAATTTGAAATATAGGGACTGCAATCTTATCTAAACCAATTTGAAATTCTGCTTGCAGGAAAATTAAACAAGCTTGCGAACAGTTGAGCTACATTGTGTTATATAATCATACAACAAATAAGGGGTATCATATACTTCAACCCGACAGATTCATATCCTGTCCAGTCTGCTAGATAGATTTGAAAGGAAACAAAGGATTGGGAGAAAAATAAATAAATAAAGCTACAACCACAAAAAGGAATGTAAGCAAAAAATTTGAAGCACTCCCACAAAAGCACTAGCAATACTACTTATTGATCCTAAAAAAAATCTTGAAGAGGAAAGACTCGGTTCTAACCTCTTTATCTTTTGTCCTTATCCTGACTTCCGAATAGTTTCTTCAGTAGGAAGTTCAAGTGTTGCTCCAGCATGCTCTTTACCCGGCTTCACCACTGCAGCAATAAGTTTGCAAAAATTGACGAAAGGCCTTAGTCTACTCATACAGATTTTGTTGAATAAAGTTCCTACCTCCTCCAAATTAAAAACAACAAATATAAAAGGCAAAGCCAGAAAATAAAAAATTCAAATCTAAGAATACTTTTAGTAGGCATGCAAGTGGATATAATATTTTTAGACACCTTGAATGCCTGCCTGCAATGACCATGTTTTGAATATTCACATGAGATAATCATAGATATTTCAAACAACCTCAATTCAGTTGAGATGCCCATTGTGTGAAGACATGTGTGATGCACTTACAAACCCCTAGGATCTTATATGCTGGTAGACAAACTCGGTATTTTGTGGCCAATAAAAGGTAACTGTTAATTCCTAATGGAAAACGCATAGAAGGCAGCGGCTAAAACCTATCACAGAAATGAATATTTGAGTAAATTTCTCTAGAAACACTTCTAAGAGAACAAAATAGGAAGAAAAAATGAAATAAGTTTCTCTATAAGCTAATATGCAGAAACTCTCTTATTAGCTTCTTCAAAATCTTATGCTTAACTAGTGCATTCTCGATTATGACATGTTCTCCTAATTGGAAATGTCATTCTTCTATCGATCAGGAATTCCAAAGATTATTGCCCAAATAGCATGCCGCAATCGCAAGTAAATCCAAAACACAGTAAATAGGAACAGGATAGGGTTGTAGACAAGTCATTAGTAGCATTCTGCCCCACAAAACAGAAAAACCCTATTCACACATACCACTATTCAATAATTAACAGAAACGTTTTCTAAATAAAACAGCCGAAATGCTAAATTTATGTTCAAGCTCCATGGCATAATGTTTTTCTTTTCCTTACAATGAATTGATAGCGAACCAAGTAGTGGAAGATATATTTCCATATGATTGAATACAAAGCTGATGCAAGTGCAAAGTGGTAGTGGTGATTTTAGAATGAAAAAGAGAAACAAATCAACAAATAGGTGGAGAGCATACCGTAACTGCCGGCATCAGAATTGAGCTGCGCCTGGACGATCATGTTGGTGATGAAATGGGAGGCCTCTTCGGCTTCTAGGAGAAGCTTCTGGATCTCGGCGTCGGAGCTTACGTTCTTGTTCTCCTCGAACTTCTTCCTTACTTCGACCGCAGACTCCTTCAGCATCATAGTGTCGCCGGAAAATGTTTTCCGAGTCGCTTTCAAAAGGGCACGGTACGCGCTCAGAACTTTCCCTCTAGCCATCGCTGATACTGATCTCTCTCTTTCTCCTTCGCGTCCTTCTTCGTTTCGCTTGTTAGTACCGGAACCCACGAGTGGAAATTGGCGACGCAACCATTCGCGGCCCGTGGCCTACTTAGGCCCATAAGTCTCTAGGCCCGTGTGCCTCATGGTATCTTTATAAACCTTGTATAAAATATACCTAATAAATAAGTTTTAGGTCATATACACGTCAGATTAGTTTTTTTTTTTTTTTCGTTCCTGGAATATCCATCGTCGACAGCAGTGACTAATCTCCTCGCTACGTTGGAGGCACCTCAAAGAGTGGGATAGCTGGCACCAAGATTTAACGCGGCTGCATACACAAGGCAGGATTCGAAATTAAACTTAATAATTACATTATATGTTAAAGTTGACTCACAAAGTTTAATTTTACCTAATAAATAAGGGTAATTTAAATTCGAGTTGAAATAGATATAGTCGTATTTAACTTTAATTTGTCTCTATATTTTAATCGAGCTAATATTTTAGTCATTAACTTGTCCCTGTCCTTAAATATGAATGAATACAATAATCTATAAGTTAAATTAAGATTAGACCTATTTAAGATGAGACTACGTTAACTCAAAATATAATCAATATAATTCGTCACCTCTTATTAATGTAATTATAATTTGGAGAATAATCTACATCTTATCATTATACATACTTATAAGTATTGGTAAAAATAAAAAAATAAAAACAAAACAAAATTTTTGACATCGGTATGAAAATATATAAACATAAAATTTTGATACGCTAGAGTTGTTTAATGGGTCACATATTGAATATAGCAGCATGATAGAATTGAAAGAACAAGATCTTCAATTGATAAAAATGAAGAAAGACGCGAAGGGACACTTGTATACCCAGAACTCTACACAGGACCTGAAAAGCCCTCAAAAAACCCCAACTATTGGGATGCAACTAGCAAGGAGCCGAGTTGATAAAATTCAAAAAATCACACTCAAGCTGAGTGAAGGGAAGACAGATAGCCAAATCCCTAAAAAAACATTGATACACATAGAAATGGGGGGATCAGTAGACCTCCCCATGTACACGCCCTCATCGGCCTGACAGGGCTCCAGCCGAATCATATGGGAGATGGAAGAATCGCAAACCCTATGCGTTCTCTGAAACGCATTTACTTCAAGGAAAGAGCAAAAAATGCTCTGAACCTCAACCACCTCGCGTTTAACCCAGTCGTAACCAGGAACGCCTGGCTCCGGGCCTCTAGGTGGCGGCGGGTCTTTCTTCTCAACAGTGGCCCTTCCAGCAGCCACCACCTTGCCATGCACCTTGCCCCCGACAGGCGCAGAAGATCCGGCACCACTTCCACCAGCCATAAAGAAAAAAGAGAGGAACACCCAGAAAGGTCCCGAGAAAAAGAGAGAAGAAACGAATAAAAAGGAAGTACCTGGTACTCCTCCTCAGAAAATAACCCTAACGAGAAAGGGGTCACCGGAAACAACGACGGAAGCACAAAGGAGAAGGGTGACGAAAGGAAGCAAGAAACCAAGAAAAACTCTCTCGTACTCGAGAAATCAGAAGGAAAGCAAAGAGTAAAGACGAAAAGGCGCGAGTAAAAGAAAAGAAAAAGCTTTCCCCCAAAATTCAAAACCGACGCGACACGTGTCGGTCGAAGGGCACACCTAACGACACATTTATTGCAAAACCATCATTACACAACCGTCACTGCCCTTAATGCGTCATTCAAACGTCTCCAGGACACAAACAGTTGCGACACGTGGTAGACCTTCAGTTAGTGTATGCGCAAAAGCCACTCCCCCCTTAGCGAGCCCGGTCTTAGCTCCTCGGCCTACGGCCTTCAGAGCTCGGGGGGCTAGTGTACTAATCGTACTTCGCACCCGGGCTCCGAGCCCGGATTAGCAATACAAAACAACCCCGGGCACGCGCTGCGCGATGTCAGCCCGGTATTTGAGCAAATCACACCCAAACCCGAGGATCTCGCCCCAGACCAGATCCGCCCTTCAACTATATCATATCATATTGCAATATATTATACTATAACATATCTTATCTCAGGCCCAAGGCCCAAGGCAAACCTAAACCACCCTAAGGTACGTACATTATATATATGAGACTATTATTCATGCAAACCCTAACTTTGGCATCAGAGTCTCTTTTGCAGGTACCTCCCCCATCTTGGAGCACCAATACATCAAGCA